TGTTATTCCTACCTGTGTCCTCCTCTGGTGCTCTGTTTGTGTCTCTGTGTTGGTAAAACATTCTGTAAATTTCCTGTTTTACTTTGAAGGTCTGTGGCTCATCTTGCTCATTCGTTTCGGCTGTGTTTTCCTGTGTCATTTCCTGATTACCTTGTGTGCATGTGTATTTGTCGGTTCGTCTGTGTTGGTTATTATTTCAGATCTCCTCATTAGTGTTCCCAGTTTAGGTGTTTAGTAATTTCTCGTGCCTCATTTCCTGTTTTTCACATTGTAAATAAACGCTTACCTGCATCTAGCCGTTTCCTGAATATTGGGTCCTTTTTCTACAAACACCACACGACTGCTACCCTGGCCATGACAAAAACTTTTAGCACACCCATAAGTGGATTTGATCTGGGAAACGGAGTTCAATAAACAACATTTAAACACATTACTAATGAATTCCTTCAAATTCCTTTCTGGGGAAAAAAAACAAGTATTTGTTTGTGACTCTCAGTCGGTTCAAATAGATGCTAATGGAGATTGTCCCTAAGGGAGCAATGCTGTAGAAAAGCATTTAATGATCCTTATTACAATCACCAGTCCTTGTACCAAAAAGCAGGTTCCATATTTGCCTAATTTTCTGACATCTTCTGACATTCAGACAAATATTCATCCGAGCTGTCCTAACCCCCATTTGATCTATTAGGTACAATGTGTGACTGTGGGAGGTACAGGAAAGTGGTTGGACAGCTCGATATCAATGTAGGCAAGCTGGGGAATGCAGTCAAGTTTGTGAAGAACGGTAAGTCGCTATGTTTTTAATCTTTTACTAGACACTAGACTTATGTCTTACCTTTAAAATTTAATAGAAGGAACTGAGACAGGTTTCTGTGTGAAAGAGCTTGTATCAAGTCTGGCCTCAAAACACCAAATCCTTTCTTTTTTCTGTTCTGACTGTTCCTCATTCAAAGCTAGGCCATTGTGATGTTTGTACTGCAACCCACTTCCCCAAAATTTGCAACTGCCATTTGGGTTATTTT